TGTGCCAGGTATATGTAACTTGGAGGCCAGAAGAAGACATCAGGTTCCCTAGAATTGGAGTTAAATAGATGGTTATGAGCCACCTGATGGTGCTGGGAACTGAACTAGAATCCGCTGAAAGAGCAGGAGGTGCTCTTAACCTCTGAGCCATCTTTCCAGTCCCCAGACCTTGGCTTGCTTTCTTTTCCCTTTCTTTCTTTCTTTCTTTCTTTCTTTCTTTCTTTCTTTCTTTCTTTCTTTCTTTCTCTTTCCTTCCTTCCTTCCTTCCTTCCTTCCTTCCTTCCTTCCTTCCTTCCTTCCTTTCTTTCTTTCTTTCTTTAAGGAAGTAAAAGACTAGGTCTCCCTGTAGCATCAGCTGGCCTGGAACTCACCATGTAGACCAGACTAACCACAATCTCACAGAGATCCACCTGCTCCCCGTCCCCCAAGAGCTGGAATGAAAGGTGTGTCATTGTGCTTGGCACCACCCCGACTTTAAAGGCAGGGGGAAGTGGCTGGAGAGATGGTTCAGCAGTTAAGATCACTGACTGCTCTTGCAGAGGACCTGGGTCCGATTCTCAGCACTCATATGGTAGCTCATCACCATCCATAACTTCAGTTCCAGGGGAATCTGCCACCCTCTTCTAGTTTCCATGGGCACTGCATGCATGTGGTATACTTACATGCATGCAGGCAAAACATTCATACACATAAGATAAAAAATAAACACTAAAAATTAAAAGCAAAACAGATCAACTAAGAAAAGTCTAAGGGCTAGGGATACAGAGTACATACTTAGCAATCCCCAGCACCAAACAAGCAGTAAAATAAAGAAACAGGAAACACTGTTAAGTGTCGGGGCAGAGGGTGTAGCTCAGTGGTACAGCACTTGCCTGGCAATGCTTGAAGGACTCGTTTCCATCCCCAGCACTGCAAAAAAACAAACTTCACACCCTTAGGCATAGGCCTAAGATACCATCAGCTTCACTAGGCCTCACTAGCAACAAATAAGTGTGCATTTGAGGCTATGAATTTACAGAACTCTGAGTCTCAATCCTATTCTCTTCCTTTACCTCTCAGTTGCATCTCTAGGCCACTTCAAGCACCTCTCCACCGACATGTCCTAAAGGGCACTGCCTCCTCCTGACATCATCAATAGCCATTTTTTACAAAGGGTGATGTGGATAATGTGGATTCAGTGTACCTCATGTCTTACACTTAGAATCTGCTTGGATCTTTTCTTCCTGAGCTCTGGCTCATCTTATTCTTTTATTTGTTGGAATGTCTCTTCTGCCGTTTTCCAAAGCATCGACCCCTACTACCTCTCTTTAGAGTCAGCCCTGTCCTCACTTTACTCGGGGCTTAAGGTTAAAGTATTTGAGAATAGGAGGGATCTGAGAAATGGGCCCAAAATGATGATCATAAAGAGAAATCTAAGACAAGGATAGGAAACAGGTGAAGAAACATGCCCCCAGGGAGACATCGAGGAAGGCATCAGCAGGAAACTAAGAGGCAGAAGCAGGAGGATCAGGGGCTCAAGGTCAGTGCAATCACATAGTAAGCTTGAGGCCAGCTTTGGGGTACGTGAGACCTTGTTTCAGATAACCAAAAAAAATACGTAAAAAAGCATATACACCACCACCACCCCCAAGCAAACATGTGCTGTAAAACGCCTATGTTAAAAAAGCAGATGTTAATTCTAATACCCTGCAGGACTCCAGGCAAGTATTTCCTGTCTGGAACTCGTCTCGTAGACGAAAAGTATGAGAACTCGAGTACAAAGCAGAGAGATGTGCGTTTCTCTGGGCCAGTCCAAGCTGTCAAGTGGGTCCGCAGCTGAAAGAACCGATACACTACAATCTCGATACTTTTCCCAGTTCAGAAAAATGCAAGGTCCTGGGACTCCCGGCCCACCCGCACCTCCCGTCCTGCTCTTCGCGATTCAGGGGAAGGGAGCTCAGCACGGCCCGTCACTATCCTCCTGAGTTCGGGCCGGGGTTACCTGTTTTCAGGCTCCGGCCTGCGGTTCCTCTCCGCCTGGTTCACCATGGGCGCCGCCATGTTGGCAAAACAACAACTTTATAGGAAGCAGAGGCCACGGACACAGACAGGCGGGGCGGAGGCGGGGAAGAGGTGCAGGACGCCTGAGCCGGATCTCGAGTCCCGCCCCAAGCCGAACACGCCCCGCCCCTCCTCTGGCCCAGACCCCGCCCCCAGCCCGCCCCGCCCCGAGATAGGGCCCGCCCCCCGACTAAGCCGCGCCTCCTAACTCCGCCTTGTTCCAAACGAGGACCTGGCTCCCAGGCCTCGCCTTCCACCCAGGCCTTTGTAGCCAGAACAAGCTCTGGATACCAGGGAGTCACGTTACTACAGCTGTAGCAGAACAGGGTAGATGTTGAAAGAGTAAAATAAGCTGCAGGCAGCGAAGAGAGCTCTGAAGTAGTTTGAGGCCAGTGTTTGAATCTCAGCGCAGTAAAAGCCACCGACTGAGCTTAGCTAGGGTGGATCTGTTTGATTTGTTGAGCCATGGTGGACCAGATAATGGTTGAAGCACCTTCTTCCACCATATTGTATGATCTTCCAGCCCCAGGAGGGGAGTTACCTAGCCTAGAGGAGTAATGTACTTTTCTCAGATGGTAAGTAGACTGGCAAGTCAGGAAAACAAGTGCCTGGACAACCACTTTGCTAAAGAATTTATAGATCCCATTGCGCAGATGCACAGGGGCAAGTGTTTCTGGCTTATAATCAATGAATTACAAAGAAGGAAGGTAAAAATATACTTTAACCTGTTTGAAAGAGAACTTGAAAAACACGAATGTGAGCAATCCACAAAACTGAAATGGATTTATTAATAGTACAAAATAGTTGATGTCCTATAGGGTAAGAAAAAATATTGGGGAGCCATCTTTTCTACACGAAATTAATTGTACCTCCACCAAACAATGCATCCCATCACCAAGCACATTCTCCATCTTACCTTCTGTTCTTACAGAAATGAACTGTAGTCCTTAAGGAGGCCAACAAGGGTGCACACTCCTACAGAATAAAGTTCCATTCTGCATGCCACCCATGGACACACAGGGAGCTCTGTTGCCCATTTCCAAGGCTTTTAACAGTTTCTTGACATTTCAAAATCCAAACACCATGTTATTCAAAGTGTGGTATCTAGCTGGGAACCCAGTACAAATGAAAATCTCAAGCTCCACCCCAGACCTGCTGCACCAGCACCTGCATTTTAACACTAGTCACAAGTGATTCTAGGCATGTGCAAGTTTGAGACTCAGTATTCTAGAGTATTAGAGAAGGTCTCAAACACTAGCCTAGTTTGCTCACATTAGAGACATAAAAAAGCCCAGGGCTAGGAATGTGACTCCGGTGGTCAAGTGTTAACATACATGTGCAAAGCCCTAGGTTCTGTCCCCAGCACAGCATAAACCGGGTGTGGTGGTATAGGCCTGTAATCCTAGCACTAAGGAGGTGGAGGCAGGGGAATCAGAAGTTCAAGTCATCCTCTCCAACTTACTTCCAGGCCAGCCTGGGCTACATGAGAAAGATTTGGTATTCAAAACTGGGAGCAGGATGTGTTGGTCAACATCTGTAATGTCAGTACTCAGGAGGCTGAGACAGGAAATTAATAATTCAAGTGCAGCCTAAACTACAAAGGGAGGCCCAGTCTCAAAAATAAAAAAACAAGCCAGGCATGGTGCACATGGTGGTGGCACATGCCTTTAATTCCAGTACTCAGGAGGCAGAGGCAGGTGGATCTCTATGAGTTCAAGGCCAGCCTGATCTACATAGTGAGTTCCAGGCCAACTGAGGCTACAGGGAGACCCTGTCTCAAAAAGATCAATAAGTAAGTAAGTAAATAAATAAATAAATAAATAAGTAAATAAAGTGGGATGGCACACTCTTGAAATCCCAACACTCAGGAGGCTGAAGCAAGAGGACTGCCTTGAGTTCAAAGTCAACTTGAACTACATATCTAGTGCCAGTCAGCTATGGCTACATAGGAAGACCCTGTCTCAAAAAACAAATAAAAATTTTAAAATGAACAAAAAACTACTGGTCTCCCAACTTAGTACCTTTCCCCAAAATGCAGAATGAAAGATTATAAGGAATAGGACTTGGAACCTAATCCTCTTACTCTGAAGCTGGTGGAACACAGCTTGTCTGAGGTCACACATTTAGTATATGACACAGCCAGAATTCCAACTCAGATCTCTTGATTTCTCTGCCACCAAGACAGGGTCCTTAATATAAGGTGAAACCATAGAAGCAGTGGCCAGCCGATCAGCCTGTCACTCTTTTTAATTTTTTTAACCTATTTATTTTTATTTTATGTGTATGAGTGTTTTGCCTGCATGTAAATTCATACATGCAGGTGTACATGTGCGTGCAGTGTCAACCAGGCCAAAAGAAGGCATCTGACTCCCTGGAACTGGAGTTAGAGATAGTTGTTAGCTGCTATGTGGGTGCTGGAAACCAAATTAGGGTCCTCTGGAAGAGCAGCCAGTGCTCTTAACTGTTGAGCCATCTCTCTAGCCCCCAGCCTGTGACTCTTAATGCCTGTACCCATATACAACTAGAGTACCCCTTTTCTCATATATGGAGATATAACCTCCACCTTATTTTAGTTCAAAAGCAGTCTTTCCTTTTATGAAGTAAAGTTAACATTGACATTTCTAGAAGATTATTTCAAGTGGAATTTTCCTAAAAGTCATTTGCTTTTCTGAAAAGTTGCTATTTTTACATCAAAGACAGTAACATGAAAGTAAATCCTTTCACTCTTAAAAAATCTTGCTGCAAAGATGCATTATTAAATAAAAGAGACAAGTTGCTAGCTGTGTAGAGTGCTATATCCTTTTTTTTTTTTTTTTTTTTTTGATTTTTTAAAAAGGAAAAGGAAGCCAGGCATGGTAACACATGCTTCTATTTCTAATAGTTCTGGCTAAGGCAGAGGCTAAGACAGGAGGATTACCAGCCAGGGCTATATAGTCAGACCTTGTCTGAAAAACAAAACAAAATTAAAAATGTTTAAAATGAACTATGAGTGTTGGTGTATGCCTGTAATTCCAGATACTTTGGAGGCTAAGACAAGAGGATAGCAAATTCAAGGCCTGCCTAGCAACTTAATGAGACCTTGTCTCAAAGTAAAACTCAGAAAGAGGGCTGAGATGGAGTTCAGTTGTTTGATCCCCAGTCCCATGCCCTGCCCTGCTCCCAAAGCTACAGTGGTAAATTGTATGCCTGTGTATTTTATCAAAATTTAGAAAAGAAAAAAGATTCTCTCTACAACCTCCATAGGGAGTGATTCTCCTGATTAAATACAAATTTGCAAAAATTACCAGGCCAGGCCGAGTCATTCATGCCTAAGTTCCACGTCACCTAGCTGAAGCTGAGCACTTTAGCTGAGTGAGAAATGAGGATTAGAGAGAGCCAGCAGATTTCCCAAATCCGCCAGGGCAAATGGGATGATAATGGCAGTTCCTTCTGCTTTAATCCTTGCACAAAAGAAGCAAATTGAACTAGCCGGTGTTAACTACTCCATCATCTCCCTCTTGTGCTGACTCCTGTTTCTGCCTTACAAGGCAAGTAACTCTGAAATGGCCAGCTTGCCTTTTGTTTGTTTCTCCTCCCTTCTGCCCTTGTCTGTGAGCCAACTTCTGATGCTTGGTATTGGAATCTCAGTCCATTATTCACCACCTTGTTTCCCTGTATTCCAGAGAAATTAAGAAACAGAAGTTGGAAAGGAAAATGGATTTATTTACCATTTGACCAAAGGGGTGAGGGTGGTACTTTCTCCCTATGATGCCTGGGGGGAATATATAGAAAAATGTGAGACAAAGATCAGAAGGTATGTAGGCTTAGTTGAGAGATTGTTGTCAATGCCAAAATCCCGGCTCTTACCTCAAAGCGAATAAGGGATAGTTTATTTTGGCGCCAGATATAGGCCGGGAACACAGATACAGGTTACCCCCAAATACCACATTCCAATGTAGTAACAGTTATTAAGTTTTTCTAGTAACAGAACAAAGAAAGTTATAAATTTCAAATACATTGGTAGGAACATCAGGTTGGCCAGATACAGCAAATCTGGGAAGTCTTTGCTATAGATCTCAGATGCTCTCTGATGACACTCAGCTTTTGGAAGCTAGAGGCCTGTTTGTATGTTCCCAAGGGACTTCACCTGACAGTCACAAGAATGTTAGGTCTCACACAGAAGTAGGCAATGAATGGGCTATTTAGGGAGCTAAAATAGTCAAAGATAATTCTGGCTTCCAACCTGTAATTTTCTATCTCCACAATTACTTAATCTACCTTGCAGAATGTTTATAGGTGTGGTCTTTTTTCTGGAAATTTCAGTTCATACAGATAACAGGTCTTTTACTGGGCAGGAGGAAGTGCTGACTGGAACTCCAGTTGTCTCTGTTTTGTTCTCAGGCACCCACCTGTAATCTCAGCATTTGGGAGGCAAAGGCAGAATGGTCACAGCAAATTTGAGGCCAGGGTAGATTTCATAGCAAGTTCCGGGCAAGGCAGGCCTACAGAAAACAAAACAAAAAAAGGGCTGTCGAGATGGTTCAGTGAGTAAAGGCTATTGCCACCAAGTCTAATGACCTGAGTTTGATCCTCGAAACCCAAATGGTAGAAGTAGAGAACCAACTACCACAAGTTGTCCCCTGATCTCCACACACGGCACATCCCCCATATAAATGTAAATAATGCTTTAAAAAATGAAATTCTTAAATTAAATCATTGTGTTTTTTGGCAAGTGTGGTATGCCAAAAATGCCATTGTTATGAATCTTCAGAAACAGTTTTTCCTTGTTGTCTTCTCATTAAACATGCCTTGAGCCAAATTCACAGCGTGATTTGTGCCCTGTGCTAGGGTAGGACTTGACTTGGAAAGCAGACCTGGGTCCAATAATGTTCTGAGACTGGGTAGAGAGATGGCTCAGTAGGTGAAAACTCTTACCAGACAAGCCTGATAGCCTGATGACCCCAGAACCCTCATAAAAACTGACTCAGTAGGGCATCTGTAATCCTAGTGTGCTATGGGAAATGGGAGGCAGAGACAGGAGAAGCTCCAGAGGAGCCGGCTTTTTCCTTGTTGGAAGAAGACTTAATATTGTGTGACGTGGGTATCCTTACCTCCC